TAGTGTAGAGAGACAGAAATCTAAATGAAAATCTAGTCCCTCAGTTATCTTTCTTTCATACTCCAGTGTATGAATATGATGCTACTGTCAGGGCTCCAGCAAGATCTACAAGCTCTTCCCTCACTTCCTTGGGGTTTGCTACCTGTTCAAGATCAGCTCCAATAAGATGAACCTTCAATAAGATGTCCGGGAGAAAAGCAAATGTAATGAGGAAGAGCTTTGAGAAGGCTTGGATGGGGCTCCAGCGTCGGGCCAGGCTGCCTGAGTTGGGATGGCCTTGCATGACTGCCATGACCTCCCCTGGCTTGGTCTCAGCTGGTCCTTTGCCAGGGCAGGGGGGGGCTACACTTGGGGGAGAGGGCACCTCCAGCTTCCCAAACCCTTCCCCTATCCAGCACCCTGCCCTGCTACTCCCTGAGAACTTCAAGTGATGAGGCTTCCCCAGGAGCTGGGTAGAGTCTAAACAGTTGGCTACACAGGGCCAGGTCACAGGTCCAAGGACTACTGAAGTATTATTCATACTATTAATTGGCAGCATGGCCTTTGGAAAATCTTTGGCATGGGGCAGATATTATTCTTCCACACATTTTAGGGATTACAATGAATTTGGAATAATCCCTAAGAGGCAGTTTGGATGCAGCTATTTGGTTGCGGAGTTTAGAAAGTCCAGATGGACAATTATATGGTTATACTGTACCTCAGGGCCAGAGAATTTTACTTACAAGTGACGCTGTGAATGTGAGAACCATGAAATCACCAGAAGCAAATAGAAGAGAAGAAAAGAGACAACAGGAAAAACTGACCACAACTATCTTCTTGAGTGAGTTGTCCACCATGGGATAAAAATGGCAAAAGCTGTCCAAGGCTCAAGGACCAAAATCACAGAATCACAGAATGGGTAAATTTGTAAGTGACCAATGCGGGTCATCCAGTCCAACCTCCTTGCTGAAGTAGGGTCATCCTAGAGCACATGCCACAGGATTGAGTTCAGACGGTTCTTGAATATCTCCACTGAGGGAGACTCTAAAACTTCTCTAGGCAGCATCCAATGCTCAGGCACTCACACAGTAAAGTTCTTCCTCATGTTCTGGTGGAAATTCTTGTGTATTCGTTTCTGCCTGTTGCCTCTTGTCCTGTCACTTGGCACCACCGAGAAAAGCCTGGCTCCATCCTCTTGACACTCTCCCTTCACATATTTGAGGTCTCCCACAGTAGTCTCAAGGTTGAATAGGCCCATCTCTCTCAGCCTATCCAAAATCTCATGACTCTCCCAGACTAGTTAGGTGGAGAAACTGTACTTACTTGTGCAGTGTGCCTGCTGCTATATGGCTAGCAGGGCACATGTTCACCCAATAGCAGGGCCCATGTTTATCCACGGTATCCCAGACCAGAATATTTAGTCCTGCATGGTATGTGGACAATATGCATGCAAACTTGTTTGCAAAAAGTGAGCAACTCTATAATTTACTTTTGTTGTGGTCCAGATCACAGGTTCCTCAAACGACCAGCATCCTATGTCTCTGAGGTCTTAGGTACACTGAGACAGTAATAAAGGTATATGCACAGAAGAAATATGTATAGAGTATGTACATATGGATACATGTGGAGCCACTTTAGAGAATTTCAGGTGAAGAGGACGCTTTCTGGTACCCTTTATGTCTGGGTGCCTATGGGCAGTCCAAACCACAAGCTGAAACAGAGAAGAGCTTCCAGGCATTTGAGATTCAACATTAACACAATTGTAATGGGCTGATTTCAACAACCTAAACTTTATAACAGATAGGAAAGTTCCCCCCCCTTATCATCACTTATTTTATCTCTGGTTGTTTTTTCAAACATATTTCCCTAAACTTTTCTGCACAAAATGTTCTCCACTCATTAAAATCAATGGTGGTTTCAGCTCCACTTTTAGCAACAGGGGTCCAAAGCTCCCTCAGCTCAAGGCAAGATGATAAGAACATTTAAAAAAAAAAGATTTTAAAAAAATAAGCTACTGGGTATCTATTTTGTTACATATTTTAAGAGTTTTTCACTGTATTAAATTAAACATAAATGCAACAGTGACAAAATGCCAAGGATGGAAAAAGGCACAAAAAGAAAAAATAGCAATAGAAAAATGTAAATTCACTCCCTCAGAGTAGACCAGGACAGAACCAGAGATATTATCAGGTTTCTTTCCCTTGCTCAGAATGCAGAAAAAATTGTTAGGGTTAGTAATAACAAACTAGGGTTCGTAGCATCACAATTCCCATGTCCTGGTGCAAGGAGAGATTATGACTCTGGTTAATGAGGCTGAAGCTGGTCAATGGGAGTGTGAACAGTGATGCTGCACTGTCAGTGCCATCATCTGAGAGCAGCCAAGCCTGCACTCACTGCCTTGCTAAATAAGACCCCATGAGCTCCCTGAAGTTAAACATCTAAAGGAGATGATAAACATATTAATCAAATTAGTTCAGGCAAAACAAACATGTCCAGTAGTGTCCTTTAATCACAGCTATATATAAGCATGCTTATAAGTTTGGGGGTTTGTTGGTTAACGTGTTTTCTGGGTTTTTTTAAGGCAACTTCTTTTCATGTATTAGTTCAAAACTGTGATTGAAGAGAAACTGAGGGGAAAGTTCTTATAGAGGGATGGAGGTAGAGCATGAAGAGAATGGAAATGACATGAGAAAATGGGTGTTGGAGTTCTGTTGAATAGAGGTCATGGAGAGATATGGATTGTAAGGGATTGTAAGTTCTTCAGCAAGAGACATAATACCCTCATTGATCAGACTTGTAAAACCACAGAAGACCCTCCAAAAATGGTTAAAATTTGGCAGGAGTTATTCCACCTAGTTAGAAGTGCAGAGACTTTCTTATACCCAGACTCCATCCTTCTGCACCTGCATTTTGCCGAAGCAGTCTGTTCTCCACTATTTTGCATGGAAAGGATGAAATAATGTTTTGTTTGTTTAGAACTATCTAAAAATTACTCCACATAGCCTTGATGATTGGCAAACGTGGGAAGTGCAAACTGTGCGAGTGCAACCTAAAAAGATGCAGACTTTAAACGGGAAAAATGTAAAGTGTTTAGAAAACAGAAACTGTTGATGGAGGTCTATGGAAAATGGCTTTCGATTTGGACTAGCTTTAACAATGAAGCACATGAACAGCTATCAGAAAAAGTCAAAATATTTAAACACTGTTTTACAGCCTTAACTCTAAACCTATTAGAGTGTTTTCATAATTTAATTTAAAATGTTGCAGTTGAGGAAGGTCATGCTGTAAAAGAACATATAATTTCTGACAATCATTAGAAAAGTATTTACACAATTCCAGAGATAAATAACATCCATCTGTTATACTTAGTCCTGTGAAAGTTTAAAATGCATATTTTAGAAAACAATCTTTTTCTTTTTTTTTTCAAATTAACTTTCTAGTGTTACAGACCCTGAATGCTACATTCTTAACTGCTGTAAATCAGCTTAACTCCTGTGAGCCTCTGGCCGTAGCCCCAGGTATATGAGACATGGGAAGCCTGTAACCATCAACAGATTAGAATAATTGCCTCAGTGAAAAAATAACCGATGCCAGTCTTTGAATGTCACTAAACACACCCTTTCTTCTCTTCCATTTACGATGTGATGCCTTTGCATATGTTAAAAAAATTATGAGAACAAAGAGATGCCCTTCTAGAAAGACAGCTATATCAATATTTGAATGGCTACGGAAAAGGGTCATTTTTTCTAAGAAAGTCAGTATTTGATCCATATGAACTTAGTTATACAGCTTGTACCCTGAGAAACTGAAATTCACTATATTTATTTAAGGATGTACTTCTCTCTATCACAAGAATAAAGTAATGGCATTATTGTTCTCAGTTAATTAAACCTGAAGACTGGGAAAAGGACAGCAGTGAAAAGAGATATTATCTACTGACACACTGAAAGTAGAAATACTTATGTCTAGATGACAAAACTATTTCTACTGTGAAGAAAGTAGTAGATTTACTTATAGCTAAAAATGGTACTTTAATATGATTCACATCTGAACCAAAGAACGTCATTAGATTTTTTTCATGAAGTGTCTTAAAATATTTAAATTCTCACTTTTCAGAAGTTCACATGGTTAGAGTAGAAGACTAAGAAGTCAGAAGAACCAGGTTACAATCCCATCTTTGACACAACCTCATGGGAAAAGGGTTTCTGAGTTCCATTTCCATAATGTGCAAAATTAGATGGTTAAGTGTGCATTGTTATTGGCTACTACAGATGACGGATTTTAGATTTCATACATTTTCAGAAGGAATGGATTGCTACTGTCAGGCAGTCTAATACTTTACTCAAACCATAGCATGTCTGAGGACACACGTCCTCAGTCACATCTGAGGACAACCCACAACTGCTACTTCATTCATTTGTGGAAAGACAAATAGAGTCATTTCACCTAATGCCAACCATCAAACATTCCAACTTCACACCTAGGCCATGGCAAGAGACAATGGCAAGGCACCTCCTTAGGGCAATTCCTAAAACAGGAGGCACAACAGGCAAGAGGAACAGCCCTCTGGAATTGCCTGTCTCTCCTCACCAAAGGGAAACCCAGACTATCAGCTTAGACCGCACAGGCACAACCTGAGATCGCTGAAGTGAGGTGAGGGGGCACCCACCTCCAGCCTCGAGGGACGCAACAACTCTTGGCCGCTCGCGTCCCACCTGCTGAACCTGGGCGGGCTAGTTGGATAAAAATGATTATTTTTTTTAATTTCTTTTTATTTCCTCTGGTGCAGGGGTTGGCTTTGCAGCGGCTTCGCGAGGCGGTCTAACGCCCTTTCCCCGGCAGGCCCCGCCTGTGCAGCCCTGGGGCAGCCGCGGGTCGGGGTCCGGGGCCCGGCGGGGCCGTGAGGCGGCCCAACCCCGCCAGCGCGGGGCGCGGCGCGGCCAATGAGCGGGGCCGGGGCGGGCTCGGCAGCGGCGCCGCCGGTACTTAGGGCCGCCGGAGGGGCCGGGCCGCCCAGAGCGGCGCGGGCGGAGGAGCCGGGCGTCGGCAGCGAGGATAGAGCTGGATTCCTTCTGCGTCGCCCATGGGGACAGGACGACTTTAAAGGAGTTTGAGGGGGTTCTGGCGCTGGGCGACCACGGGTACGGAGCGGGACGGGAGGGACCCCTCGGGTGTGGGAGGGTGCCGCTCTCCTGCTCTTTTCCTGTTCTTCGCCGGGTCCCGGGCGGGCTGTGGGGAGCGGGCGGGCAGGGGTGCCAGCCCCGGGGGCTCCTCCAGCCGCCTCCCCGCAAGCAGCGCGGCTCGGCTCGGCTGTGCTGGTGGAAGGGAGGGCTTGGGACCCTCCGGCCAGACCCTCCCGGAGCCCTCTCCCCTCGCAGGGCGGGGAGAGGAGACTCCCGGGGCAGCTCGGTTCCCCCGCGCAGCGCTGGCGGACGGCGGGAGCCTCCTTCTCTCCCGGCGCTGGGAGCCGGGCGCTCCAGTACCGTGGGGAGAGCGCCGGGGAGTCGGGGCTCTGCCCTGCCCCGCACCCCGGGGACAGGGGAAAGATCCGCACTGGAAGTTTATCCCTTACACAGAGGGGAGGGAATCAGTGGGGGAGGGATGGGGGCTTAGGGCGGAATCGCTGAAGTCTTTTGTATGTGCCTTGATTTATTTTTTTCTCTTTCGTTCTTTCTTCCCTCCGCTTGCACTCTCCTTCCCATCTCTTGTTCTCTGTCTGTGCCCACCCCACCCTCCTTCAGATCCGGCGATTCCTGCCCTCGCCTCGCCCTGTCATTGATGGGAAATCAACTGGATCGCATCACCCACCTGAATTACAGCGAGCTGCCGACCGGGGACCCCTCGGGGATCGAGAAGGACGAGCTACGCGTCGGGGTGGCTTACTTCTTTTCGGATGAGGAGGAGGACCTGGACGAGCGAGGCCAGCCAGACAAGTACGGCGTGAAGGGCTCCGGCAGCCCTGGCCAGGAGACGCCCACCCACCACCTCCACCACCAGCTGGTGCTGAACGAGACCCAGTTCTCCGCTTTCCGCGGCCAGGAATGCATCTTCTCCAAGGTCAGCAGCGGCCCCCAGGCTGGGGACCTCAGCGTCTACTCGGTGTCAGCCCTGCCTGCCCTCTGCAAGCCGGGGGACCTGCTGGAGCTGCTCTACCTGGGGCCGTCGGAGCACCCGCCGCCGCACTGGGCGGTGTACGTGGGCGGCGGGCAGATCATCCACCTGCACCAGGGGCAGATCCGCCAGGACAGCTTGTACGAGGCGGCCGCGGGCAACGTGGGCCGGGTGGTGAATAGCTGGTACCGCTTCCGCCCGCTGGTGGCGGAGCTGGTGGTGCAGAACGCCTGCGGGCACCTGGGCTTAAAAAGCGACGAGATCTGCTGGACTAACTCTGAGAGCTTCGCCGCCTGGTGCCGCTTCGGGAAACGGGAGTTCAAAGCCGGGGGGGAGCTGCAGGCGGCTGCCGGCACCCAGCACCAGCAGCAGTACTATCTCAAGATCCACTTGGCAGAGAACAAGGTGCACACGGTGAGGTTCCACAGCCTGGAGGATCTAATAAGGGAGAAGCGCAGGATCGACGCCAGTGGCAAACTGAGGGTGATCAAAGACCTGGCTATAGTGGATGGGAAAGAATAGGGAGGAGCAGGAGTACATGGCTATCTTTCTGCCCTGCCTGGGGAAACCAGCCTGCCACAGAGACAGGAGGCTACACCTTCCTTCCGTGGGACACGACTGGAAGCAGGATCCATGGCAACATTCCAAAAAGACCAGCATTCTTTACACCCATAGCCAGTATTTTGTTAGGCTTTTAATAGCATTAGCATTAATGCTGAAAGAGCGAGAGGGAGGAAGAAAAGGGGGGAGGTGCAGGAAGGCTGTTCTCAGAGTATGTGGACAAAGTCTCTCCTGTCGATTGATGTTGACCATTCTAGCAACATGCCAATAAAATTTCAAATTGAAATTTCTTTAATTTTTATTTCATGGCTTTAATCCATGATAAGTTTTAAACATCTGGGACCGTGGATGTGGATCTAGCTTAATGATATTCTAGCTAATACTTGCCTTGCAGTCAACCAAAAGTATCAGTCATACTTTGCTAACTGGGAGAGGAAGGAGGTGTTGGGGTGGGGGATAAATGCCTGTTTGTTTTGTTTTGCAACATGTTGCTTCAGCCTGTAGCTGCAACCCAAATGTTGTCCCAGCCGACTCTGGCAAGTAATTTATGGGGAAAATACTTTCATATTTCTGGTTGAAATCTATCACATTTAAAATATTTGCCTTTGCTTTCTGTTTGCAGCTCCCTGCTAAATGTCATCATAATGCATAAGCTCTTTTCACCTCTTCCCTTCTCCCATCCTTTCTGCTGTTTTTCTTCTGAAAAAAAAAGTTGGTGAGCAGCAGTTTTCCTCAAACTAAATTCATTGGTCAAAAGAAGTGGTGTATTTTGGAAAACAGTATACTCTGTGTTGCTCCTCAGAGATCCAGCCTCTAGGATCTCATGCTTGAGCTGTGGATTTGTATTGCTGTAGTGATTCTTACTGCACCACTGCTTCAGTACCTCTTCATGCACAGGTCAACAGGATCCTGCAAGAAACAAATAATTTTGAATTCTGCATGTTGCCTCTTTGAAACAGCAATTTATTACATATTTACAATTCCACTTAAAGAAAGTAGATGTAATGTGGCCAAGTTCATCTTGCATTTCAAATTCTCAGCAACTAAAAATTCTGTTCAGTGTAAGTTTAGAAATCCACAGCAGCATTTAAAAGATGCCTTTTAATGTGATGTGAGCAATGCCTTGTCTGTATTTCAGATCCTGTTCACTCATTGCTTAATTCTAAGTTTTGAAGTGAAAGATCAGAGAATTAAATATATATATCTTTAAAAAATTCAAACAAGTATACTGGGGCATTTCTTTTTATTATTATTCTGAGCTGCATACAACTTGTAATGAGCATTTTGTCTTTGCATGTTTCAATGCTGGAAAGAAAATGCATTTGTTTTTGTCTTCTCTTCCCACATCAATGTCAGACAACAGAAGAGAAGTAATACCCCTCTTTTGTATCTATGATACACTCCACCCCCTATCAATGTACTGTGTCCTTTTTTTTTTTTTTTTTTAATTAAACAATGTCATAAGCAGCCTTGTTGCAACACTAACTTCATTTCTACAAACATTTGCCTCCCATAGCTGAAGCTGTGAGGGTGGAGTGTACTTCATTGTAATAAAAGTGTCAGATATTAATAAATATCTTTATTTAAAAAAAAAAAAAACAAAAACAAAAAAACCCCCAAACATCTGCCCTCAGAACTGTACCCGCTCAGTGAAGGTCATCTGACTGGCTTTGTACTTTCAGATACACTTGGCAAAGTTATGTGGTAATAGCCAGTGTTACTCTTATCCCCTCCCCTAAAATACCTTGTTTCGTACAGTACAGGGTAAAAATGTGAATTGTAATTACTGTTGAAATAACCTCAAACCACAGGATACCTTTTAATAAATGTGTAATGTTTTGGCTTTATTTAGGCAATAGTTGCTGTTTCATGATGATAGCTTTTCCCATAACATGAACACAATCTGCTACATAGTAGTTGTGTATCTTAATTATTTTACTCCATTTGATCTCCTAAATTATCCGTTAGAACTGATTTCCCTATATCGCTTGGCGGGAGTGCTTTGGGATTGCAGAAAAGCACTGGCTTTACAACAAGGCACTTACAAAAAATTAAAAGGTGGTAGGACAAGGAAAGGTGGGCAAAAGCAATTCATTCCAATTTTTTCTTATAAAAATTATGCTTTAGAGATATGAGATTGTAAAAGTCAGGGAGAATGACATGAAGAGGGAATAAGTAACAGAATGTTAATGAATGAAGGCAAGAAGAATGAAGGAGAGTCACGGTGTTATTGTTGATTTCTGGAATGCTTTTTCTTCAAATTGCTGTTAGATTAATAGCATAACATTAGACAGAGGTTCCTTACAGGAATAGCATTGCACATCCTCACTAGTGAGAATTTAAAACATGCTGGCTTTAAACTTTTCACTGTGCTTTCTGAATACTCCGTCACTCTACTAAACCATTTTAACTGGATTTTTTTAATAAGGATTTACTAACCTGGTTCATAAACATGACAGATTTCCTTGTTTTACCTAGCTAGATATAGAATGGTATTTTATAGTATATAAAAGAAGTGGTCGGAACTAGTGTATGCTTCAAGAACAGTCAGAAGTCTTTGGTGTAACTCCAAAGTTGTATAGATAAAGGTACAACAATATAAGGCTTCAGTCCTTTGCATAAGGACTGTAGAAAATATATTGGAAATAGTAACAGATGGTATTAACCGAAGATATAGTATTACCATGAGTATGTTCAGGTAGTAGTCTGTAATTAACAAGAAGGGTACGCATATACTTTTTTTTGTTGTTTTTTCTCTTACTAGATTTCAGTCGAGCTATTGACAGCAATCTGGTCCTGATTCATAGTCCATTGAAGTTAATGGAAAGGCTTTTGCTGGCTTCAGTGAGCTTTGGATCAGGTTGTAAGAGGTGGATAAAATTTTTGGACCTTGAGGAAGAGTGAAATTTAAGATGACACTTCAGAGATCAGAAGGGCCACCTTTCTGAGATGGGAGACAGGAGACACAGGCAACACTGAGAAAACAAGGGAAGAAAACAGACTAGCTCTGAAACAAGCAGTGTTAACCTGAGATGGCAGTAGGGAATCTGTGTAAAAAACTGAGTGAAAAGCAGATATAAAAAGTTGTTCAGTGCCTTGAAACAAGAAATGGAAGGCCGGGGAGCAGTCAGCTGCAAGAAAGCCAATGATGTGAATGACTGACGGGTAAAAAATGTAATTGATTATACTTATCTTTCAGGATCAGTGGCCTGCTGGAGTTAACATTTCCATTTCCAGCAGTAAAGATATTGACAAATTGTATTATATCTAAGGAATCTGTTTGCATTCTTCAGTCTAGCTGCCTAGGGTAAATATTTACATCTCATTCATTGCTCTTGAAGTACTGACTTGAAATATGACAGCAATGTCAGGATACTTTGGGTGTCTTTCTTCTGTGTCATGTTTCAAGCTTTCTGTTAGTTCTTTGGGTAACAGTTCTATACAATTTTGCTTAGATACAATTTTCTTTTTCTTTTCAAAATGCAATCTTTTGAATAACTTTGAGACTAATGTTTTATTAAAAATTCAGTTCATGTCCTCTTGAAACATAGAGAGCCTTTGTGAAATGTTTCCTTGTCATGACCAAAATGCTTACGGTTTGTTGACTGCATACTGGGAGAGGACTGTAAGAACGGGTGGCAAAATAGGTTTTACCGCTGTCAAATTTTGTCTCCATCTCCATCTTATGTTTCCAGATTACTTTGTTTTCGTTTGTTAGAATTATTTTTTTCCTTCCAAGTCCTATGGTTATATAAAATTAAAACAAACAAACAAAGAAAAAAACCCCAAAAACAAAACCCCTCATAGCATAAATTTTATGGCAATATGCTATTGATCTGTATAGTGGATTTCAGGTTAAAAGAAGGTGCAACAAGACATGGCCCTTGGTTTCTGGTAGAGTGTGAACAGTCTTAATTATCCTGCCTCATTTCACTTAAATGTCTTTCATATTCAGGTAAGTAATGTGCAAAACTCTGCCAGAGTTTACAGACCTGTTTATGCGATGTATTGAACATCTGTAACTCCAGGCAATGTTGGCTGGAGTTGAAGGCGTGCTGTATCTCACTCAAGACACATAGCATCTTGTGGGATCAGGTACCTCAGCCTGCCCAGTTCCCCACCCTCTGTCTGCACCTACAGAGGAAGTAGCAGTCTGGGGTAGCTGCTGCTAGTTTCAAGATTAGCTATTTTCTGTGAAAGATTTCAATTAGAGCAGCTTATGGACAGTGTTCTGCCCATAATTATACTTGGATGTGACTAAAAAGTTTTATGTGTTGCTGCTTATGGTGTGACAGTGTGCTTTCTGCTTTAGAACCCAGGAGAAAGATGGAAGTGCCAGTACCAAAGAATTAATCCAGAAATATGTAAGGAGGTATGACTGGGCTACCATGCTGAGGGCAGATTCACTGCAGAATTAGGGTTTAAAGGATAATAATATATGACTACAGTGTGATCAAGTGCTGCTGCTAGTTCAAGTGTCAGTGTTTCCATGGCAGGTCTGGAATTTATTTGCTGACTTAAATATTATGAAATTTTTAACTTTTCTGTACTTAGATTTCAGATTTGACATGTAAAGCTGCCCTATGTTCATGGATCCTCTGACACAATGTTTTTTTTTTTTTCTGTCAGGTTTTTTTTACAGTTTTATTGTCAAGAAAATTAATGAATACTGGGATCAAGTACTTAACTGCTTGTAAATCAAAAAGAAAGTAGTGTAGATGTTACATTGAAAAAAGGGAATGAACTAAGAATCTTCTGTTACTGGGCATATCCGTGGATTTGTTTCAGATTATATAGATATAATCTATACAGATATAAACTACCAATGCTGTATTTTTTAAAGTGGTTGTGGCTTTCTGCATTATCTCTTTTGCAAAATAGTGTTATCTTGTCTAAATAATCGAAATCCTTAGTGAAATTCTATATTTTGATATTGAAATGTTGTTGAAATTAGCAGTTACTTTATCCATATTTACCACTGAGAAGTAAACTATAATTTTTTTCCTAGGGAATTTATAATTGAGGAGCTAGTAATATGCACTTTCATTTCTTAATTTTGAATATTTTGTGAGCAAAATGTATCTCTGTGGAAATGTGTAGAGGAACTATAGAACTTCCATTAACAGAGGCCATTCAGATTTAAAATATGCCTTTATATATTTTTTTTCATATTTTTATTATGGGACCTTGGGGCATTTCTCATTCTGCAGATGATCCATGTATGTAAAACTGTTTGCAGGACCAGGATCTTTAAAATAAAAGATCTGTCCCCTTCATGTGGCGTTTACTTTGGGCTAAAATCAAGGAGTAGGACTAGTGAGGATCAAGGCCTCAGCATTAACCTCCTATAGAATTTAATGGAAGGCTTGTGTGTGATGTCTACCAGAAGGGCCTTAATTATGATTTCTTATGTACATATAGTAATCATCTATGCAAATTGGCATTTTCCCAGGTGAAGTGGGTTAATGCTTTTCAAACATCCCTTTAACTTTCTCTTGTGTGTCTGTGTGGGTGCATGTGTTGGGCACAAATAGAAAACTGAAGTTTAGAGTACAGGCTTGAGCTTCTGAAGTGCTGCAGAGCCAATATCTCCAGCTGTTTTGACAGGAACTCAGGTGCACTTTTGAACCGGTGTGGGTGCAGCAGGAAAGGGTGGGAGAGTTTGCAGTTAAACTTCAGGCTGTTCAAGGAAGATGTTCAGAGACAAGCTTGAAATTACATTCTTTCTCTTCTCCAAGGTGTATGAGGGTGAGTAACTGCACACCTCACACATAAAACCATTCACACTTTGGAGACCCATGCTACTGCCTAGGCAAAATAGGGTGAGTGCAGTGTCTCAACAGCATTAAGTAGCAAATAATTTTTCGGTTTAAACACTATTTGGATACAGTGTGGCATTAGCAATCCATTTTGAAAGTCACATTTTTAAGCTTGTAAACTAAACAGCATAATGTTTATAAATGGGAGACCTCAATAATCCTTCTTGGTAATTTCTATACTGCAGGGGTAAGAACCTGCTCCCAGTTTGTGTAAAAAAAAAAGAGTAACCCTGCCTCAAGAAAATTATCATGGAATACAATTTGGAAATAAATTAAACAATCAAACCCCAGATTTGGTTCTGACATGACACTATCACTACTGCAGGTAAATAAATGGCAAATATCTTACAGTGTGAATACATACAATTTGCTGCATTGTGACACTTCTTCACAACAGAGTATTTTATGCCACAGAAGGAATATTTCTTGTATGTTATTCAACATGAGTAAACATATCACAATCTGGTCTTAAAACAGATCTTTTTTTCCATATGTCTCTATTGTTTCCATATGCCCTTTCAGTCAACTGAAAGCAATATAAAAACTAAACCTGAAAAATATACTAATTGTTTGTAAATATTTAAGCAAAAATTTATATGCATATTTACATATAACTAATAGATGTACTTGTATATACATAAGACTTGCATATATGCAGATATGCAATACATATATTATGCATACACACACAAGAAATCTTGACTGTTTTCTTAGTATTGGTAACAAATGGCAGTCATTTCAGTATGTATATTGTCTGTGCAACAG